TGCCACCACTTTTGGTTTTTTTTTTTCTTTCTTTCTTTTTGGTTATTCTGGAAGCATTCATTTGGATTTTTCCCTGCTCTGGTTTTCTTTATGTTTCCATAATCTTTCGGCTCCTGGGTGGTCTGGTTTCCAACAGGCAGCAGTGTCAGCTGGTTCTCACAGAGCCCATGTGCTCATGGAGGAAATGTGGCCTGAGCTGATGTCACCACACCCACAGAAAGGAAGTGACAGCTACACAAGGTGGAGAAATGTATGTGTTGTATCCGTAAGGGTGACTTTGGTTACTAGGAACAGAAAACTCAATTCAAACAGCCATAAATAATAAAGGCAATTTATTGGCTCACATGTTTTGAAAAGTCCTTCAGGAAAGGCTTGATCCAGCAGCTTAACAGTGCTAGCAAGGACTCAGTTTCCTTCTCTTACTCAACTTGCCTTTTTCAAAACTGGCTTCCCTTACCGTCCCAGGACACCTCCCAGCAGTTCCCAAGAAAAAGATCGCTTCATTTGTGATCAGTAGGGTATCAGAGAAGCATCTTTGTTCCAGAATTCCCAGCAAAAGTCCTAAGGTTCACTCTGATGTGACAGGTCTAGATCACATGCCCAGCACAAAACCAATCACTGAGCCAGGGGGTTGAAATGCCTTTGTTGCCTTAGCCCTGCTCCTGCCTAGCACCAGCAGTGGAATAAGTCCCTGCAACTACATGGCTCCCCAAACCACAATCAAGGTTATCTGGGAGGGCAGGGGGGTGCTGGGAAAGCTATGCACTTGGCCCATTGCATTGGGCAGCCACCTATTGGGTTGGCCAAAAAAGTTCATTCAGGTTTTTCCATAAGATGTTACGGAAAAACCCAAACGAAATTTTGGCCAACCCAATACATGGGAGTTAGTTGATTAATCATCATAATTGCAGCTCCCATCATGAACTGCATTAAGCACTTCACATGCATGAGTTATGTGATCACAGAATCCTGGGAGGTGGCCTTTTAATCCTATTTTGCAGAGAAGGAAGCAGGTTAAGTGAAGTGACTTGAAGCATCGTAGCTGGTATGAGTCAGAGACAAGATATGAACCCAAAATCTATCTGATCCCCCAATCCATTCTCCTAACCTGTACCCCATCTTCCTCTTAATAATGTGGAAGTCACTGCTGGGGACTCCAAAAAGGGAGCACACTTATTTAACAGGGCTTAACTGAGAACCTATTATGTGTCAGGCATCCTGCCAGCCTCTGAGTACTCAGAGGTCAGAGAGGTATGATCTCTACTTTCTGTGAGGTTCATGGCCTAGAAAGAGAGACAGGCACAAACCTATAATGACAACCCAATGGGAAGCACTATTTATTGCTATGGTGGGCATTTCACATACATTATCTCATTGAATCCTTAAATACACTCTGGGAAAGATGGTCTTATCACTTCTGGATTCCTGAGTTAGCAGGGGGACAGTAAGGTTAAGTCACGTCAGGTCACTCAGCTGCCTGGGCAACTCTACCTGGTCTCACTTTCTGGAAGCTGAGGGGTCACTCACAAAGGTCAGATCAGCAAGAAGACAGCCATGACGGGTACAAGTTCACTGAGAATTCGTGGCCTGGAGGAGGGGAGATGTGCTGTGGATTGGGGTGGGCTGGAGAGGAACACATTTTTCTGAGCATGGAGAGTAAGGGTACAAATTCAAGGTCCCCAGGCTGGCACTGGTGCCGGACCCTTCCCCCGCATGCTCTGGGGATTTGTTTTTGCAGTATTCCCACCTCTGGGAATTCCCATCCCAGAATCTCAAACCTGCTTGACTCTCTCAATATTGCTCAAACCCCAAGGTTAGCATAAGAGAATTTTAATAGCTACAATTTACACCCCTTCTCGGTGCCAAGACTTCACCTGTCTTGTGATCACCCTGCAAGGTAGGAATGTAGACATCACTTTACAAGCAAAGGAAATTGAGTCCTAGAGACAGAGGTCAGAAGTCATGGGGCCAGAATACACCCCCCAGGCCTGACTTCAGGGTCCTTTCTCGTCCTGAGATGCTGACGTTCCTCAGGCTGTACATATCCTGGCCGTCAGGGGCGGAGGAGGCTGTGTTCATCCTGAGTCACCCTCCTGTAGGCTTCTCTCTGTCCAGCCCTCTGGCTTGGGCTCCTAGCTATGGACATTCTAGAGGCCTCAGGCACCTCATTGCAGATGTTCCCTCAACAGGGAGCTGGGTTCCTCAGACCTCTCTAAACCTGCCACTCATTTCTCAAAGCCGTCATGGAAGAGAGAATTGCAGAGAAAAAAACATGGAGAAGAAGAACACGGGTTTTGAAGACAGGCAGACTTGAGTCAGAATCCAGGCTCGGCCGCTCACATGCTGTGTGACCTCGAGTAAGTCCTTTCCTGTCTCTGAGCCTCCGTTTTCAGAGCCAGTTAAATGAGAGCCGATAATTCCCACTCCATAGGTTTCTGTGTAAGCCAGGAACCTAGAAGCCGTCCTTCAAATGTTTATCTCTTCCCACCCCTCCACCATTCAATCAGTTCCCCAATTCTATTAATTTTACCTCCAAAATGTATTTCAAATTCATCCTGTCTCCTATGTCACTTCCTTCACTTAAGCCACCATCGCCTCCTGCCTGGATGACTGCTGTAGCCAACTGTCTCTCGGTGCCTACTTGCCCCCTTCAGTCCATTCTCCATAGTGTAGCCAAAGAGATCTTTATAGAACATATATTCTGTGATGCCAGCCCAAGTTACAACTCTCCAAGGGCTTCCCATGGCTCTCAAGGAAACGCCAAAATTCCTACTGTTGCCTCCACAGAGAGGCCCACATGGGCTGACTGCTAACATACTCATTCATCTCTTGCTCTCTCCCCAGGACTCTCTGCACCCAACCTCAAAGCTGTTCAGCTTCTTCTGTCTCAAACACTCTTCCCCATTCTATGTCAGTTAATTCCCGCTTCTGTGTCAAACCCCTATTCAAAGGCTAATTACTCCAGGAAGCCTTCCTTGATTTCTCAGACCAGATCAGATTCCCTCATTTACTGATCTCACCCTGTACTTCTTTGTGACACCAATCACAATTACAATTATATAAGTATTGGTTACATTGGTCCTTGAATATCTGTCTTCTCAGTCATGGACACATTATTTTTGCCTCTCGCTCAAGAGAACGCCCCCCACCAGTTGTCTCAGAAGTGGGTCCGAAATTAGATTGGCTATGTGGGTGTTGCTAGGGAAGGGGAAGCTGTAGGGATCCTGGTTGGGGCAGGCATCTTCAGGGCCCCATCAAGAATGCTTGGGTGAGGGGCTTCCTTGGTGGCGCAGTCGTTAAGAATCCGCCTGCCAATGCAGGGGACACAGGTTCGATCCCTGGTCTGGGAAGATCCCACATTCCGTGGAGCAACTAAGCCCGTTTGCCACAACTACTGAACCTGCGCTCTAGAGCCCGTAAGCCACAACTACTGAGCCCACAAGCCACAACTACTGAGTCCACGTGCTGCAACTACTGAAGCCCGCACGCCTAGATCCCGTGCTCCGCAACAAGAGAAGCCGCCGCAATGAGAAGCCCGTGCACCGAAACAAAGAGTAGCTCCGGCTTGCTGCAACTAGAAAAAGCCCACGTGCAGCAACGAAGACCCAACATAGCCAAAAATAAATAAATAAATAAATTTATTTTTTAAAAAAAGGAATGCTCAGGGTGAATGAAGCCCCAGGCAGAGAAGGTACAAGCAAGAGATGGAGACAGAGCAGTTGAGCCTGAAATGTTCTTTTGCCCTAGAGCCAGCAGCATGGGAAAGTCTTCCTGATCACAGGATGCCCTCCCCCGCTGTGTTTTTTTTGTTTTGCTTTGCTTGAGCTGGTTTCACCTTGCAAATAACAGATGAGAGGAAACCAATATATGGAGATTTCTAGACTGAAGCTCCATGGAGGTGAAGACTGTGAGTTTGGCAACTTCGGGGCTGTACCCCAAGCTCAGAGCCGGCTTGATTACCGTTTGTTGGATGAGAAATGAAATAGCAAGTAGACAGCCCATAGTGTGGGACAGAAGGAGGAGTGATGATTAAGAAGGGTGGTGTACATATTTACAGATGAAATATTTGATGTCTGAGATTTGATTCAAAACAATCTGTGAAGAGTGGAGAGTGGGGCAGAGTACAGATGAAACAAGACTGGTCACGTATTGATGACTGTTGAAGGAGGGAAATGGAAACAGCAATTGTCTGTACTTTGGTGTCGTTTTTACATTCTATAGTAAAAAGTTTTTTTTTTAATGAAAAAAAATAAAACAATGAATCAGCATTGAAAGGCTGCTTATTGTAAAAAAAAAAAAAAAGAAAGAAAGAAAGAAAGAAGGAAAGGAGATGTACACAGATAACCAGCAAGGACCTACTGTAACTATACTCAATATTTTCTAATAACCTATAAGGGAAAAGAATCTGAAAAAGAAAATATATGTATGTGTGTGTGTGTAACTGAATCACTGTGCTGTAAATCAGCTATACTTCAATAAACTTTAAAAAGGAAAAAAGAAAGAAAGGTGATGTCCTCTTTCTCTCCTGTCACACAGATGCTGCCAGGTTGACCAGAGCAGAGCCTCCCTGATGTCCCGACTCCAGGACCCTCCTTCCTGGGGAGCAGACAATGCCAGCCCCCAAACCAGCCCAGCCAGGGCCAGCTTCTGTGACAGCAGACTCGTCCTGGGCCCTCCCTTTGGTGCCCTCCACCTCAGTCTCAGAGCACGAGGCCTCTGGTTTCCCTCCTTCACTTACCAGAACACGCCAGAGCTGACCTATCACCCAGGTGCACACCCAGGTAGCCAAGGCAACTGTTTACCCTCTGCCCTTAGAAACCACCTCCAGCTTGTGGCAGTAGGCACCCAACACAGCTGCCCTCTGCCCACAGCCTGGCCGAACAAGCAAAGGTGTTTCCTGCTGGGGCTGGCATTGCCAGGCTGGGTTTCCTACCCATCCACACGCCCTACTGCTCCTGTCCGCCCTGGCTCCCCGCAGCCCCAGGGCACCACACACTCACCTTCTGGTCTGTCTGGGAGCCGAGGGGAGCGAGAGTCAGAACTCACCTCTTCCTGTTCCTCCAGCCACACGGCCCAGGGCATCAGCAAACACCAGGCAGACGGAGGAGATCAAGCCCTTGGGCTCTGGAGTCACAGAGCCCTGGGTCCAAATGCCCCTGTCCACCTGCTGCCTTGTGACCTCAAGCCAGGTACTTCATCTCTCTGAGCCTCCGTTTCTCCCTATGTAGCATGAGAATAGTACCTGTAACCACCCCTTCGGGCTGTTGTGACAATGAAATTGGCTTAGTGCCTGGCATGTGACTAAACACTGACTGACTGGAGGGGCTCTGTTCCAGGGGCTCAGCCCTGTCCTGGGGGGATGCTGTGCTGGGAGAGTCCTGCCTCACCCCGTGGCAAGTCCTGTTTTAGGGGCGGCCACCTGGCTGGAGGACAACCAGCGGGTTTGAGCTGGTGCCTCATTTGTGTAGCCAGTACCCTGTATTAACTTGACTTTTGTTTATTTGGGGGGAGGCTCTGGGATGTCCGACGGTGGTTTGGGGGTCTGAAGAGCTCCCAAGTTGTCCCTGGACACTGCTGACGCCCTGTTGGTCCCAGTCCTGCTGTGTGACGGGGACCTGCCCCCCCCTTGCCCTCTTGAGGATCTTCAGAGCCATACCCACCTCCTTCCCCATCACCCTGTCACCACTCCAGAAACACAGCACATGCACCCACCCAATATCCCCAGAGTGCTACTCTTTCCTAAAACATCTGTTCCCCAGCCTGTGAACACTAGCTTTGGAGTCAGCAAGTGAGGATGTTCTACTGGCTTTGTGGCCTTGGACAAGTCACCTGGCCTCTCTGAGCACCCTAGGATGGGGAAAACATTACCTAACCCCCTGGACACTGTGAGGATTAAACGTGGAAACTTAAGGAAGCTCTGGACATGGCAGGCCCTACGTAAATGATGAACATACGTGGCAAGGAAATGACACGTATTGGAATCCCCCCACCCTTCCCTTGCTTGCTGTCTAAGGAGGGGGCAGGCTTAAAGCAGAGAAGCCAGGGGTGAAGTAAGAAGAAGGTGAGGCCGCCGCCATGCCCTGAGTGGCCCTGGAATATGAGTGAGCACAAGACGAAGCTTTGCAACTTTCCAGTCATGGCCTGGCCCCTTCTCTTCCCACCCTGGTTTCAGTGTGTGGACACCTCAGCCCGCATGTCCAAACTCTGTCCCATGCCCCTCAGACATCTGCTCCACGGCCACCTCGGCCTAGCAGGGCTCACACCCACAGTGCAGTCCACCCTCGGGGGAATAGGCCTGGGGAAGGGGCCCACACAGACCCTGGAAGCAGGCTCAGGCCTCTTCAAGCACGGCAGGGGTTCCAGCATCCGGAAGGTGGTCTACAGGGGGATGTATCAACAGTATGAGCTCTGGGTGGGCACATCCCCTTGGTGCCTCACTCTGTGGGATGCAGTGCAGGCAACAGAGAAACAGATCAGGGTCCAGGAGCAAGGCCAGCACCTCACTTGCCTACGTGTAAGGGCGGTTAAGAACTGACTTCAGCCCTGCCCTTGCGACACTTAGAGTCTAGCAGAGAAAATAGACGTTAAGCAAGGAATTCTATGAAAGCGGGACCCTGATTCGGATGCCTGAAAGGAGAGAGAGCCTGGCTTCACTTGTGGGGGGTAGGGGGTACACCCTCTGCTACCCTCACTGAGGGCCTAAGGCCCCTCCTGCTGCACAGCCCCTTCCCAAGACCCTCAAGGCAGGATGTAGGGGAGCCACAGCCGCAGCTCAGCACCAGTCCTGCTGTGCCCGGGGCCCTTCGGCAGACCAGGATCCCCGGGCCTGTGTTTCCCGAGGGATGGCCTCCAGACCTGCTGCAGATTCCTGCTCACTCCAGACCCACAGAATCAGATTCTCTGGGGCAGGACCCAAGTCTGTATAGTTAACAAGCACCCTGGGGCTCTGATGCTCCTTGAAATTTGAGAACCACTGTTGGAGGGAACATACCCCATTTGTGCATTTATTCAGCATCCTTTGATTGAGCACCTACTGTGGGCCTGACACTGTGCTAGGTACTGAAGATACATGTGTGAACAGACACAGCCCCTGACCTTGGAGCTGACATCCAGGTGGGGGAGACAGTAAGACAAATCAATATATGATGAGATCATCCAGGCAGTGGTAAATACTGTGAAGACAATAAAACAGGGGCAGAGCAGACAGGGAAGGCCTCCTGGAGGAGGTGACATTTGACCTGAGACCTGAAGGACTCAAAGCCAGATCTGTCTGCGTCCACACCTTAACCACTTTGCAGCACTGTCTCCCTTGGCTGGTCAGCCCCCCAACTCTGAGAAGCCAGGAAAAGCAAGGATGATGATGGAAAGAAGAGCACGCTCCACCCCTAGAGAAAAACCTTCACAAACTCAGCGTGGAGGGAAGTGGTGATATAATGCCCACCACATATAAATAGGCCCGACCACTCCAGAGTCACCCTGGAAGCCTGCGGTCAGTTTGGACTTTGCTTAAGGCTGAGCTCCCTGCCACCAGGAGCCCAAAACGGCTGAACAAACTTCGAGCTTCACATGGGGCCGACCCTCGATGAGTTCAAGGCCAGAGCATTTCCCCAAAGTCAAAACCACAACAGGAAGGCACAGAAAAAGTCTTCTGAGGAGGCCCCGCCTGGTGCAAGGGCTCTGGTCAGCCTTCCCAAAGGCCGCGTGGAGTAGGAAAGAGAGAAGCTAGAAATGTTCCTCCCCAAGTTCCAAAATCTCTGCCCTGCCCAGGTGCCACCATGCCGGAAATATCACCGTGAGAACTGGGGATTTGGGTTAAGCATTGACCTGCATCCTCACTCCCGGAAGAAGAGATGCATTTAGCCGCTGAGACGGCAGGTGCAAGAGGAGGGACTCTGTGGGGTTTAGTTGTGCTGACTGTGTCTCAAATTTTCCTTGACTGTTCTGATGTCAGATCATTTGTTCCCATGTCCCATGGGAACTAGCTAGTGACTTGTTGGGAAGTAGGATCATCCTGGGAGTTCCATAGGAGAAGGGGCCCTGGGAAGGGCATCTGGAGCCCAGGTTCTCAGTTCTGGCTCTGCCACTTGGGCTAGTCTCCCTTCCTGTCCTTGGGCCTCAGTTTCCTTACGGTGGGGACCGTGGCCTAAATCAAGTGCAGGCACCCCAGGCTGATTCTCTTCCCTGAGAAGGGAAGAGGGCTCCAGAATGAAGGTGGTGGAGGTCCTGAGTAGGGGAAGGACCCTGGGAGTAAGAATGAGGTGTCAGGAAGCAACACTCTGACTCCCCAGTGCCATTGCCACCTGCTGCCCAGCGGCCCACTTCCTGCCCCCTTCCTGTCCTTGGGCCCCCAGGGAGCTTGACCCAGAGCAGACCTGAGTCCACACTCCAGCCAGGGTAGCAGCCAACGGCAAGCCCCAGGGCAAGGTGGCCTCCTGTGGGCACGAGGAGAGGCTTTGGCAAAGCTGCCTGGGCCATCACATGACCTTGACTGGCAGTGGAGAGAGCGACCAGCACAGAGGCCTGAGTACTGTTTGTGCAAGAAAGAGCACAGGAGGTGGGGCTGTTGGGACCTGGGCTGGAATCTTCACTCCATCTTTTATTCACTCTGTGGCCTTGACCAGACCCTTGGCCTCTAAGCCTCAGTTGCACCATCTGTAGAGTGGGGTTAATGATCCCCCTTAAAGCCCATGCGAAGCTCCCAAGAAATTATGCACCTACTCTGCTAACCTCAGCACGTGGCACACAGTAGGAGTTTTAGAAAAGAAAAATTCCCTTCCTCTTATAAATGTAAGTTGAACTGTGCCCTCGATCCTGGTTCTTAACATTTAACCCCAGGGACTAAGCTCCCTCAACAAGAGGAACTGGACTTAGTTCAAAAATAAATCACCACCATCACCCTCATTCTTGCTACCAAATCTCTGCACATTTGTTACCAAGTGAGGTCCTGTCCAGTGCACAGTGTTACCACCATTGATAGTGACTACCATTATTGCACACCTACTGTGTGCCAGGCACTTCTGTCACTATCCCGACACATTCCCATAACAACCCTTCAAGCCGAGGAAAATCCCATTTTACAGATGTGGAAACTGAGGCTCAGAGATGTGAAGTTTCTGCTCAGGCACCACAAGGAGGTGAAAAGGAACTCAAGCCCCACTGTCTGCCTGTAAAGCCCATGCATTTACCACTAGGCTACACTGCCTCCCAGGCTGAGGGAAGCCTCCTCTCTCAGTACTGCAGCAAGGGCTGCTAGGGAGACCCCGGAGGAAATAGCAAGGCTTGAGTGGCTCCCCTAACCATTCAGCATGTGATAATTTCACTAAAAACTCAATTTCCCTCCATCAAGGGCTCCTCCTCCTTTTTTTCAAAGTAAGACCTGTGTTTCAAGGTGGACCCCAGGGCTGCTTTGAACCCTGGAGGGGTCAAGAATGGAGCTGTGGTGGTGGGAGCACATTTCTAGAATGATCACATTTGCCAAACCCAAAATGGACCTGTGAGGCCTGCCGAGGACAAGGTCCCCATGTATGTGCATTTGGGGCCATTCTGGCAATCAGGGTCCCAGGGTCACTGCAGCCAAATTCCCATGATGCCTCAGCTCTCTCTGGGAAAGTGCAGTTGTGCCTACAGGTTGTGACTCAGTCGACACACGTGTGGGCCGGTCATGGTGATTAGGGCTCTGTGGTCTCTCCAGCCCCCTGGACACCCTCGCTGAGCCTGGGAGCAGGTCAGGCAAGTCTTCTTGGGGGAGGGAGGGTTGAACAGGCCATGGTGGACAGAGAGGTTTGGGGCAGGTAGAGAGAAGGACGCGTCTTCTCCAAAGAGGCATCCTGGCACAAAGGAGGTCTGCTTCATAGCCAGGCAGACCTGGGTGTGAATCCTTAGATGGACAGATGGATGGGTGGATGGATGGATGTACAAATGGATGGATGGAGGGACAGACAGATGGATGGACAGATGGGAGGATGGATGGGTAGGTGAATGAATGAGTAGATGAATGGACAGATGGATGGATGGACAGACAGACAGATGAATGGCTGGATAAATAAAAGAAGGAAGGAAAAAGGATCAGTTGATTAATTCCAAGGCTGCAGTCTCTCTTGCTGTCCCATAGCTTCCCCACCCCAGAACCCATCAATCAGGATACACAGGTTATGTCACAGTAACAGACAACTCCAAAACCTCAATGGCTCCAAACAGCACAGGTTTAGTTCCTGTTCACACTACATGCTTGTGGGTTGGTGGGGGCTCTGCCCCATCTTGCCCTCACTCAGACCAAGCCGCCACCACCCTGCTAGTCTCTGGTTGCTGTCACATTTCATTGGCCAAAGCCTGTCACACCATCATCCCTAACTTTAAGGGAATGGACAGTGCATTCCCACCACGGATCCGGAAAGAGGTAAACCTGTATATTTGTCAACAGCTCTAAGGTCACCACACATACTGTGCCCCACTCCAGCCGCCTAGGGTCACTGTCCCCAGGGTCAGTGGGATGGAGACCAGGTGGGGCGGGGGGAAACAGAGAACAAAGACCCTGGCCCCATCTCCCTGGACATCTTCACTCCTCGGCCCCTCAGCCCTGCCTGCGTTGGAAGGCGGATTCTCAACCACTGGACCACCAGGGAAGTCCCTGAATTGATTTATTCTTGATTTCATTTCAGCAG